ATGGAGGCAAACTGCACCGCCTACGGGCCGGGGTATTGGGCAAAGTTTCCTACCCGGTATGGAGGGCTGACCGGGTAAAACAGGGTGCAGGCCGAGGCCCCAATGATGCGGTCCAGATTGCAAATTTGCACGTGGGCCTGACAGGGGCGAAACGCAAAGAATTAGGCCCAAAAGGGCATTCCGCTCTACCCACATCTTTTAGGGGCATTTTGGCATATATCTCTACTTATAGGGGTATTTCGCAAATTGTCTCTCTTTTTTGTGCCTTACAGGGCAGATATCGCCACGGATTTTTCGAAGGAAAAAAAAGGAGAATTTTCAAAATTCCGTTTGTTTGTTTTTTTTTTACACAAAGGCCCTTTGTGCAAGACCACTGTCCTGGGGCCTGGACCCACTAGAGGGAGGTTTAGTTTAGTTTTGGAGTTGTGTGACAGCCAGGACAGCAAAGAAAAGAAAAGCTAAAATTTGTGCAGCCGTTAGATTAGTGGGCTGCCTGACAAAGATGTGCTATATCAAATTTGCATTGAGAGAGAAAAAGTAAAGAGAGACCTGACAGTTGAATCTGACGACTGACAGACCAACCACAGCTTTCTTCACACACAGGAGGCAGTCCTTGTTTCTAGCCTACTGCTTGGTAGGCTAGAATCAAAGACTGCGGGCCTTTGGGCGGGAAAAGGATTGTGTGGGCATTGCCAGTGTTAAGAGACTATTCTTTTATGTTTGTTGCCTTTCTTTGAATTTTCCTTAACATTTTATTGCATTCTTCTAAAACGCCCATGACCATGACTGGGCGTCCGATCTGTTACATCCAATGGCCAAAGTGTGTCACTCGTGTCCCACTGTATTACATTTCTAAACTAAACAGCTGCTAGTGGGACCAGGCCCCTGGTGGTGGTAAGAGAACCACCGGGATTGAGGCTTTGCCTGGCGGGCCGCTCCATCTATTGGTGGGGAGAGTCACCTGCTGGAAACTGGATCCAGCGTCCCATAAATCCATCTTGCTGCACAGTGCCATAATGAGAGTGACTCCAGAGTGCCTCCGACTTCCATTCATTTGCGGTATGCCCCTCCGAGGGCAGACTTACCCTGCCGTGCCCCTGGGGGCTCTGAAGTTTCCTGCAGGCCCCTGTCAGTGATGGGTGCAACTTTCCAGCATGCCCCTGTGGCCGTTGGTGGCACTCCCCTGGCCCTGAGAGGGGAGCTACCAGGGCGTACCGGAAATTTGGAACTGGTACCGGTAGGGGCATATTGAACATATTTCAGGCCCAGGGGTTTTTCAGAAACTTCAGTCATTGCCAGAGGGGCGCATCAGGGTAAAGTCGGCCATCCTAGGGGCATAGCGCAAAAAGACAAGAGTCAGAGGGGCATTTCGAAAATATTTCCAAAACAAAACGACACTATATTTCTCCTCTCAAATTCTTTTTTCGTCATTCACTACCTACCTACCACTACTACTAAGGCCTGGACCCCACAGGAATGCGGCAAGGAAAACTTTTGCCGCAGAATTGTTTCCGGGAGCCCACATAGCCCGGAAAAGTCTGTGGAACAGTTTTGTGTTTTCCGCGGAAGTGTTCAGCGGGGCCCCACACGCCGCGCTTTGTGGGCTGGAAAAGTGTGGAATTGTGTTTCCACATGGTCTGCGGCGTGGAAAAGTTTCGCGGGAGGGATTTCTGCTGCAATTCCCGACTCTCGAATGTTGGGGGTGGAGGCATCCCGAAGGTTTCCAAGATGTCGGCCACAGGCCGGACTTCAGGATGTCCGCCGAACCGATTCGTCGATCGCCAGTCGCCCAAACGCCGCCCAGAGTCGCCCTGTGCCGGACCATGCTGGTTCCTACGCTCCACGGCTGGTCACTTGGACAAACCAGCAGTTTCCATTTCGGGACGCTTGGCGGACACGTTTCCTATTATGGTAAACTTTTTCAACATTTTGCCGCAAAACGCCCTCCGCTGTGGGGCCCCCGCAGAAAGCTTTCCAGACTTTCCAAAACTCTTCCGACGACCGTTCTACGGAAACGTCTTTTCCAAAGGAATTCCTGTGGGGTCCAGGTCCACGTGAGCAGAGGGCGTAGGGGGAAATCCGCGGTAGAAAGCGGCGAACAGCGCTAGCAAGGCTAGCACGGATGCCGTCAAAGGGGGAGGGGTGGTTCGGGTCCAGGGTGCCCGAAGAGGACGGGGAAGTAGGGGGGTTTTGAGGAACCCTAAACCCTACAAAACCCCTAAGAAAACCCTAACCGAGGTTTAAGGCTAGGGTAGGGTACCGGTGACCTAATCAAGAAAGTAAAATAGCAAGCATAGGGGGGGGAGGAAGACGGGAGAAAAATAAATAAACAGCGAGATTTTGAGAGAAAATAAAAATAAATAAGAAAATAAATAAATAATACAAATAATTAAAGAAATAAGTAAAGAGATGTGAAGAGAAACAATATTTATTTTTTTTGAAATTTTCGGCACCACTTCACTACCACCCACGGGGTCAAGAATGTGCCAAGGGAAAAGGAGAGACCAAGGTGAGCACACTAGAGATGCCGCAAAAAAAAAAAAGAAATTTCAGAAAATAAATAAATAAATAAATAAGTAAATAAGTGTGTGAGGAGGTGGAGAGAAATGGGTTATCTGATTTTCCAAAAATTTTGGCAGCATTTCGTTACCCCCATGGGGTCGAAGTGTGCCGAAAAGACTAAGTAAGAGAAAATCAGAAAATTTCGGCAGCACTTCGTTACCCCCACGGGGTCAAAACGTGTGTCGAAAGCAAGAAAGGCTAACACCAAATCAGATTTAGGGTTTCCGCCAAGAAATTCGAATTTTCAGAATAAATAAAAATAAATCAAATAAATCAAAAAATAAGAAAAGAGGGTAGGGAAGAAGATGAGAAAACTAACAACTAATCAAATTTAGGGTTGCCGTAGAGAAAATCAAAATTTCAGAATAAATAGAAAAATAAATGAAATGAATCGGGAAATTAGAAAAGAGTGTGGGGAAGAAGAGATTTCGAATTTTTGGAAAAGAGAAAAGATAAATCAAAAGAGAGGTGGAAAGAAGAAAAACAGAAAAATTTTCGAAGTAGAGGGGAAGGGGAATGAAAAGTGAGGGAGAAAAGAAAGCAATAGGTGGGGGGAGAGAAAAAGATGAAGTGGGAGGTAGGGGGGGATGGTGTGGTGGTAGTTGGGGGAGAGGAGGGATGGGGAAAGCTGGACAGGGATCAAGAAGCAAAGAGAAAAGAAGGAGGAAGACAAGAAAAGAAATAAGGAAAGGAGAGTAAAAGAATGGGTGTTGGGAGAAAGGTGGGGTGGGAAAGATAAAAGGAGGAGAGAAAAGATGCAGTGGAAGGTGGGGAGAAGAGAAGG